TCATATTACCCCAACATGGGTGTCAGTGGGGGGAATAGTCCCCCATCATTGGTGTCAGTGGGAGGAGTAGTCCCCCATCATTGGTGTCAGTGGGAGGAGTAGTCCCCCATCATTGGTGTCAGTGGGAGGAGTAGTCCCCCATCATTGGTGGGAGGAGTAGTCCCCCATCATTGGTGGGAGGAGTAGTCCCCCATCATTGGTGTCAGTGGGAGGAATAGTGTCCCATCATTGGTGTCAGTGGGAGGAATAGTGTCCCATCATTGGTGTCATAGCTAGTTAGTGGTCTGGCTCGGTGTGTTCTGTGGTTGGGTTTCATTCACTGACCACCTCTGGTCACATGACACCCAGTTTAGGGTAGATGTAAACACTAACTGATAGATATTTAGGAGTTTGGATGCTGTTTCAGCGGCACTAGCGCCCCCCCCCCGATGTCTCTTGCAAAAATAGAAAATTCCAACTAGGGGTGCTAGTACTGTGAAAGGCATCCAGCCAGGGTGTAGCTTTTATCTATGAGTTTATTTTGCTGAAGCACCGCGTATAATACACAATTGTCATTTTTTTTAAAATACAGAGTTCTTGTTTTAACCTTTTTTTTAATATATCCTTGGTTCCGTCTCAGTGCTGCTTTTCTCCTGCAGCCTCTTTGCACCCACTTCCTGTCTACCTGCACTCCAGTGATGGCTGCATGGCATTTCTCAGGCCTGGTTTTCTCAAGGTGACAACGAATGACCACAGTTGGGGAGACAGGGAAGGGGCGTTGTCACCTTTTTAACAGGAAGTGCCTGAACAGAGACCCCCATGGCAGGATCGCCAGGGATTATTGTAATAAAAGCTGCAGTTTTAATGGGAATATATTGTGACTGGAGCAGCTTTGCATGACAACCAATCAGTGGGTGAGAAGACAGTAATGGGGGAAAGACCAGCTCCAGGTAGACCGCAGGCCATACAGGTGACTTGGCCTTTGCTTTCTGTTTAGAGCTTTCAGAGTTCAGTTCCTGAGGTCAGAGTGGACACGCGGAGGGAAAGATCATTGTATGTACTACTACATTTGGGGGGGCGGCAGCTGCAGCTGGTGGGTACAACGTCTGCTTGCAAGCTTCCCGGGATCAATCAGTTGTGTGTACACGATGGGCGTGGGTCCTCCAGGAACAGACCACGTGCGTCTATAGCGCCCGTCACCTTCTTAGGTTGTTGACAATTCTTTTATATTTATTTTAGTATCATTTACTTTTCATTGTGTTTCTGTTTGCTCGCCAACAAACCCGAAGCGATTGTTCTGCAGGCCGTGGCAGGAAATCGCAGGCTGTTGTCAGCACCTCCGGGAGACCCGTCCGTAGCTGACATGGACTGCGGACACAAATGTTACAGTGATCCTGGAGTGATAGGACTGTGGGAGAGAGAGAGATACAAAGTAACATTGTTTATAAACATTGATCAGAGGGGAGATAGAGGGATACAAAGTAACATTGTTTATAAACATTGATCAGAGGGAGATGGAGAGATACAAAGTAACATTGTTTATAAACATTGATCAGAGGGAGATAGAGAGATACAAAGTAACATGGGGAATAACTGTATAGGATGTCGGGTGAATCACGCTGATGAGGTAGAATCTGCCCTCTCGTATGCTTGTGTCGTGGACTCGTGTTTCGGGTGAATCTGCCGGCTGTGTTGCGTGTTGTAATCATGTGACGGAATTGGCTCACTCCTCCGTTGCACAATCCTCGGGGTTGCTAAACCTCGCCGGTACTTGCAGTCAGCGCCTCACGTTTGCTGCAAAACCCGGCAGAGGGATCCTGACTCATCTGGAGGTTTTTGTCCGGTGAGTTCCGGAGAAACCGAATGGCCAGTTAGCTGGTAAAGTAAATACTTTTTATAGTTTTACGAGTGGGGGAGGGTTACATTTGTGACCCAGTATTGGCCTCTGGCGGCAGGGCTGGAGTGTGACAGGAAGAAGTAGCACAAGGAGCTTGCTGATAGGAGGAGAGAGCAGAGTGACTGAGAAATGAGCTCAATGCTGTGCTGCTTCTGCTTTCACAGGCTGGGGGGGTGGGTCCATGATGATATGGGCTCAGGGGAAGTGGGCTGAATGATGCTGGCGATCAGACTCAGCACATCTAGTGGCAATAAAAAGTGCTGCAGGGTGACAGAGAGGTGAGCTCATCACTGCGCTGCTTTTCCTTTCACTATGTAATCACAGGCGGGTGGTGGGTGCAGGATGACCTAGGTTCAGAGGAAATGGGTTGAATGATGTCAGACGTCAAAGAAAAGTACAGAGAGATGAGCTTGTCCCTGTGCTGCTTCTCCTTTCACTGCTTAGTCATTGGATGGGGGCTTGTCCGGGATTACCTGGGCTCAGAGGAAGTAGATTGAATAATGCCTAATATCAGACTGAGGATATCTGGGGGCAGAGAAAAGTACTGCAGAGACAGCGGAGTGACAGGGAGATGAGCTCATCACTGTGCTGCTTCTCCTTTCACTGCTTAGTCACTGGATGGGGGCTCGTCCGGGATGACCTGGGCTCGGAGCAAGTGGGCTAAATGATGCTGGACTTCAGAATCGGGACATCTAGTGACAGATAAAAGTACAGCAGGGATAGCCGAGTGACAGAGAGATGAGCTCATCACTGTGCTGCTTCTCCTTTCACTGTTCAGTCACAGGTTGGGGGCATGTCCGGGATGACCTGGGCTCAGAAGAAGTGGGCTGAAATGATGCTGGCCATCAGGAGAGGACATCTAGACAGCTTGTGGCAATGTTGGTTTTTTTTTTTGGTTACTTCCTGTCCCTGGTTTGGCCATTTAAGTAATGGGGGAGCAGTTGTTATCAGGGCAGGAATGCCAAATTATATATAGAAGGCTTAAAGCCATTTTCAATGTCCGCTTTTAATAATCCCTGGTGACCCTGCCACTTCGGACCTTAATCAAGCACTTCCTGTTTGAGTGACAACGCTCTGTTCCTGTCTGTCAATTTTGCTCTCGCGTTGTCACCCTGCACCCGATGGAGACTATTAGAGGCTGTGTGATCACACATTACACAGACATGGTCCACTGGGGGTAACACTGCCCTGAGAAATGTCACACAGCCATCAATTGAGCGCATGTAGACATGAAGTGGCTGCTAAGAGGCTGCAAGGATTAACAGCACAAAGGATGGGGGGGAAAAACATGACTACTGTTTGACTGAGAGGATGCCGGAGGGGTCATTGTCACTCGGGTGCATTGGGGTCTGTGTACAGGAAGGCCAAGACATGGGAGATACTACAGGGAGTAGTTCACAGTGGAGGGGGTTATGAAGGCCAGTCATGTGACCGAGTTCTTAGCTGTGGTCATGTGACCGAGTTCTTAGCTGTGGCCATGTGACCGAGTTCAAGGATCATCTGACAGAATGGAGAAAGCGAGACATCCGCTTTGTGGTGAACTTTTTGCTTCGTAAGCAGTTCAGACCAACACGAGGAGTCATGCGTTTATATTTTATATTGTGTCTATTTTCTTTAAGTTAATAAGCAACTCCTCAGAATTAACATAATGTGATCGGTCTTTATTACAGGAGGGGGCGGAGACGAGACCAGTCACCCTGCACAAGGAGAGAGAGCAGCAGGTACCGGTCTGTATTACAGGAGTGGGGCGGAGACTAGACCAGTCACCCTGCACAAGGAGAGAGAGCGGCAGTGGGCAGTCTTTATTACGGGAGTGGGTGGAGACGAGACCAGTCACCCTGCACAAGGAGAGAAAGCGGTAGTGGGCGGTCTTTATTACGGGAGTGGGCGGAGACAAGACCAGTCACCCTGCACAAGGAGAGAAAGCGGCAGTGGGCGGTCTTTATTACGGGAGTGGGTGGAGACGAGACCAGTCACCCTGCACAAGGAGAGAAAGCGGCAGTGGGCGGTCTTTATTACGGGAGTGGGTGGAGACGAGACCAGTCACCCTGCACAAGGAGAGAAAGCGGCAGTGGGCCGTCTTTATTACAGGAGTGGGTGGAGACAAGACCAGTCACCCTGCACAAGGAGAGAGAGCGGCAGTGGGCGGTCTTTATTACAGGAAGGGGGCGGAGACAAGACCAGTATAAATTATCTTGACATGTTTGTTTGTTTTTTTATCTGCAGGCTCCTCAAATCGTCTCAGCTCCTCGCCCGCCACCTTGCCTCGAATGGAAACGCGAACGCGCGCACAGAACCCCAAACGCGTTCATCGGATTCCTAACAAAAATCAGCTGATCGGACCATCCGCCGCGGCCGCCGGGAGTCAACAATTTTGCTCCGGCAGGAAAATGCACAATTTCTACTGTTTTGTATCCTCGGGAGAAGAGTTCTGATCCCGCCCCCTTTTTTTTCCTTCTCTTCTCATGACATTGCCACTACAGATGAACTTGATGACCGGTGCTCACAGCGCAACCTACCCTGGTGTTCAAAAAGAGCAAACCTTCATTTTTTGGGGGGCCGGAAGTCCATTTTTGGGGGGTTTTTTCCTCCGGTGATGATACTTGTATATAAAAAAA